AGACAACTTGATTTATTCATGACAGTATCTCTAGGACCAGAACTATGCTTGACATATAGCAGCTGTCTTAGTTACTTGTCTCATTGCCAAGACAACATACCTGACACTCAAAGTTCAAGGAGGAAAGGTTTATTTAGCTCACAGTTTATAGAGGTTTTAGTTCATAGTTGGCTAGCTACATGGCACGATGGCATGCGAGAGGGGTATCACAGAGGCAAAACAGTTCATGGCAGGCAAAAGATAGCAAAAACAAGCATGTGATGAGCGGCAAGCCTCTTTCTGTCCTTTGTGTCTTATTCAAAGAACCTGCCTTTAGAATAGGTAGCACTCACACCCTTAATTCTAGCACCTATAACCCTAGCACTTCACCATGAATAAATCCCAGTGCCACACATTCTAGATCCAGTAATCACTGAAAAGCCTCAACTATGACTGCATGGTTTTGGAGGGACATCTAGACACAGTCATAACATTCTAGTGTTGGCCCTCCAAAGACTTCTATACATCTCTTTACGCAAAAGGCATTTGGTCTGTCCCTAAGAATTGCCAAAGCCATAACAGTTTCAGCATTGCTGACAAGTCCAAGTCTAAAGTCTCCTCTGAGATTTAAGGCAAATTCTTAGCTGTGAGGCCCTGTACAAATGTATAGAAAGTTAAACACTTCCAACATGTAATAGCACAAGATAAAACATTACCACTCCAAAAGGTACAAATAGGGGTATACAAAAGAATGGAACCAAAGTAAGTCCAAAATCCAGCAGGGCAAACATTAAATCCTATAATTCAATGCCCAGCATCTGAGACAATCTGTGGCAAGATTTAACTACCAAGGACTTGGGTGGCTCTGTCCAAGTACTTCTGGTGGTTGTAGCACCCAGCTTCTCTCTTGGGCCTGAGCTGCTCCCTCCCTGCAGTTTTCCTCAGATGATCCATGTTCCTGCCTTCTTCAAATTTTGGGGGTCTCCACTGCACCTTTAGCTTCATACACTGCTCTCTCAGGGACATACTGCCTGGCTTCCCAGGTTTTTTTGAAATCTGAGTGGAAGCCCTCTTGATCTCACAACTCTTGCATTGTGTTTTCTCATAGAACCTGCACCACATGGATGATGCCAAGGTCTGCCACCAGCTGGAGCAATAGGCAGGCTTCCCTTGTTTGGGTGTAGGAGCCAAGTTCCTTGATCACTAGGTACTCTGAACCCAAGCTTGTGGAGCAAATTCTCTAGGGTGCTGCCATTCTAGAGCACGGTGTTCTGGAGCTCTCTTCATAAAGCAAAGTTTTTCACTTTTGCAATATGAAGTTGCAAAGGCTGGAGTCCAGCTGTTTTTTGTGATGTCCTCAGACCAACTTTCCCATTGTCCTATTCCTTGTCAGCAAACATCTCTCCTCTATCTTTGCAGTCCACAGCATTACTAAATGGAGTGTCCTTTCTGCCCAAACTGAAAATGTTTTCAATTATTCTTCTGGGCTCTTTGCTCTTGATTCTCAATACAAACCTGGCTAAAAGATCCTAACAGTGGCCATACTACAGCCTCAACGTTAAGACTATTCTGAATTTTTTTCTACCACATAATTAATCTACCCTTAATCTCAGTCTCAGGCAAAGGCTCTCAACACAACAAAATCCAGAAAAACTTCCTGTCAAGGCATAACACACATCATATGGAATCCAACAACCAATGTAGTACTTCCCAATAGAAACCTCAGTTTGGTCTTTATCAGCAGACTTTCTATCAGCATTCTGGTCTTCTGAGCTCTGACCAGAACCTCCCATCAAGTACAGCTTAAGGCATTCCAGGGCTTCTTTTTTTAGCTACCATCTCTGAACATTTCCCAGTTCCTCTCACAAGCCATTCCCAAAGGCTCCAGAACCACAGGGTCAGGTATAGTCACAGCAATGACCTCAGTTCTCTAGTACCAACTTATGTTTTAATTACTTTTCTCATTGCTGAGATAAAACACCCAGATATCAAGGAGAAAAGATTTATTAGTTCATAGTTTATATAGATTTCAGTTCATAGTTGACTGGCTCCATGGCAGGAGAGCATGGGTGTGTTGGTTAGTTACTTTTCTCTCATTGCTGAGAAAATACCTGATACCCACAATTAAGGAAAGGTTTATTTAGCTTACAGTTTGTGGAGGTTTTAGTCCATAATCAGCTGGTTACAAGGGAGGGTGAAATGGCACAAGGACAACCCTTCAAGGCAGCAGGAGACAGCAAAGCAATAAGCACAAAAGGTTGGGGGACAGCAAGCCTCTTTTCCTCCCTTATTTTGTAAGCAGGCTATAACCCACTACAGCAGGTCCAGCACTAAAAACACCTCTCTGCCCTACTCTGGTACAGAATGAAAATATTTTACAAAGTAAGGACCCTGGCTCCCTGCTGAAGTTCAAACTTCTAAATTTCTCAAATTGACACAATATATCAACCAGTACAATGAGAGAAGGATATCAGAGAGGAGAAACAGTTCCTTGCTGGCAGAAGATACCAAAAACAAACAAGTGACATGTGACAAACCCCCTTTTGTCCCTTATATTTTAACCAAACTACCTGCCCTTGAGGTGGGTAGCACTCACACCCTTCAATTCTAGCAACCATAATCTGAGCACTGCACCATGAATCAATCCCAGTGTAACACACACTAGATCCAGCTCTGAAAAGCCCCACCATGACTGCATGAGACTTTGGGGGGACATCTAGACACAAACTGTAACAGTAGCCTTTCAATAGTTACTGATTAAATAAAATCAATCATAGGTTTTCTAGGATAGTACTAGTTTCACTTGATTTTAAAGAGTAAATTTAAAGTAGTCTGTAATGTACATATATACAACAGGGACTTTCCACATAATTTAACATGTTCCTGCTGGCTTGAACCACTGGTGGTACATACATTGGCTATCTGGCATGTGACAATCCTATTAGGTGGTAAAGCTGCCTAATGGAACAGTCATGCATATAGGCCCCATCATGAACTTGTTAATTCACAAAGCAAAAGAAATCTTTATTTCATATTATCAAATTGTGTGTAGTATAATTAATTATAGAAGTTCACAGAGAACAATACTCACTGATTGGTATAAAACTCATTCCTAGTTAGCTTCACTTATAAAGTGACCCATCTTTTTGCTCAGTTCTCAGACTGCAGCTCATATATCAATGGCAAGAGCCACCTATAACCTCTTTTACACCTTTTGATCCATTGTAAGCACTGTTACCTGTCTAATGTATTTCATTATATCACATCTGCTTTATTTTCTGTCCTAATGGTTTCCTACAAGCTAACAGAAATGAAAACTATGAATTACTTACCTTCTGGCCAAGCGATTCTCATTACCATTACATTTAATCTTCACATTCTATAAGGCAGTGCTGTCAAAGCTGCTGTCAAAGCTTTTAGAGCTTACAATGAAAACAAACAGCCTGCTGCAGCATATGCGCCATAGGTTTAACACTGCTGCTATTAGGTATGATTTTCATCCTACTTTACTCATACTGTACATATATTAAAGCTCAAAAAGGCACATTAACTTGAAAACAGAGTTCTGATTTCAGGCCATCAGCTGTAGCATTTAACCCTTATCCTTATGCTCAGGGAAAGAGAAGCCTGCTCTTCACCTCTTTCTACTGCTCCCTCCCCTTCAAGGTAAGTTTTCTTTTACTTTGCTGTGGCTACCAGAACCCAGAGGGGTTTGAAACAAAAAGCAAACTCAGCATGAAGCAGAGGTGCAGTGTTACAGCAGTCTCTGTCTGAATCATATGTACCATGTATCAGCTATCCCTGGCCTTATTGCTTCCACCACATGTATCTCCTCTTCCAAATATACTACCACTTGGTTGTACCCATATGACAGCAACTATACTGTGAAGTTTTTTCTTAACCCAACCCTAGCTTTGCAGTTCTCTAGTTCTCCCAACCTATAGTCTTTTCTCTCACATATCTCAATTTGCCCTGCTTTATTTCACTTAAAAACCATGTAACAGATGACACAGAACACTAATTACTAGTTAATTGCATTCATTTCAAATGCTTGCATTTACAGCATACTTCTACCAAAAACATGTAAGAGAAAATGACTTGCTTCTTGGCAAGCATCACTCTTAAATACTCACAGCGTCATTCACGGCAACATGTAGAGACATGCCTCTTTTGTTAATGAGAACAAGCCACTTTAAAAAGATTCTTACCATGGTCAACGTGAGCCAAAACACAAATGTTCCTGATGTTGGCAGTGTTCTTCTGAAGTTCAATCATCTTATCCAAACTATTGAGCACCATGGTTAATCACTTCCCGAGACTGGAAATTAAACATGCGTTACAAATGAAACAGGAGCTAAAAGTTGGGGCAAAAGAAATTGAGACACTAGGAGCTAACATTCTTAGATCCCTTGAAGACGCTCAGGTACCTTTCGCGATGGGATATACCAAACCAGGCTCAGTCCCAGGTCCGACTCAAAGTTAAGGGATCAAGAAGGCAACCAAGGAGTTACGCGTCCTTCCGGGTCACGCAGCGCGCTAGGTAGGACGTCGGGACACCGCATCCATCAGGTCCAGGCCGTGGGCAAGAAGGGGACAAACCAGATGTCCACGTCCCTCCCTGCCCCTCGGCTACCTGTTCCCGAATCCCTCACCTATTCTCCGGCGCGCTGGCACTGGAAGCGAGCGCTCGGCTTTAGGACGGCCTGGAACACCGGTAAAGTTTTGGGTCACTTACTGAAGACCCAAACAGGTGCGCCGCCGGCTATCCACGGCTTGAAAAGGGAAGCACCTCAGCACCACACTCCCTCCGTCTCCGCGGGTCCTCGGATGGTTTCTCTGAGGATTCCGGCTCGCCCCGAGAAGCCGCGGCTGTGTGCCCGACCCCGACCCTACTGGGTCCTCCCCACCTTCACCTACGGGTCCCTCTTCTTACCTCGCAGCAGAGTCAACACTCTCACTCAGGCCGCCCGGCGCACGAGGGGCGGGGAGAACGCGACCTTTGACCCGCGCACGCCAAGGACGCCGCCGGAAGTGGGCGTGGCGTCCTTCTCTGGGCTCCAGTGGTCGCCATGACAACCCTGCGTTGTAGTAGCGGAGAGGCGTAGAGCGAAAGCTGGGAGCCGGGAGCCTGAGGAGTCGTTGTCTATGTCAGATCTGCACCTGCGGGTAAGACGCGGTCGAGTCCGGGCACGGGTGACTCCGGGACCCGCCAGGACTAGGGCACAGCGACGCCCCCGCTTATCCGGACCCGTGATTGGTGGGTCTCTCCGCACTTGGGCAGAGCACTTCTTTAAGGTCCCTGAAATTCTTGTTCAGGGATGTAAACTAAAATGCCACCTACGCCAGTAATAGGTGTGAGCAAGGAGCTGATGTGAGGGGCTTGTTATGGAGGGAGCGGGGTCCTGGCTCAATTGAGAGTGTGCGTAAAGTAAGACAAAAATAACAGAAGAACAGCGCACAGGCCACTAGGTTGCAACCAGTTACACTTTCTTTCATCTCCTGCATTCCATCCTCCAGGCCAGACAGCACTCCTTTAGAATTTGCACGATTGTAAAGGCAGCAGTCTCCACCCTAAAACTCAAGAGTTGGTCCGTGATCTCTGCCTAACAACCTTCCAACACCTGTAAACACAGATGTCCCTTCCCTCAGCTTCAGTGTTGACACATGGATTAGATTATTTGCTAAATACATGTGAATGTGCCAGTCCCTTTGTTTTGTGATCTCCTTCAAAGAAAAAACATCTGCATGCTGATGGAAAGCAATTTTCTGTCATATTCATAATAAATACAGTTTGTAATTAGATAAAAGATTAACTTTTCAGTTATAAATTTTCAAACTCTGGTGTAAAAGAAAAAAGTAGTTTTTTTCCTAATCTTAATTTATATTCAACCTAAGTTCCTTTCCCACCCAGGAAATTCCATCTTCATTCCCCCTTCTCCAGGCAGTTGAGTGATGCAAGCAGCTGAGGCATTACTAATTTAACAGGAATTACATGGGGTGTGAACACTGTGGCATCCACTGAAAAGTCCTTTACTGAAACTCATGTATTTCCTTCAAGAGCAGAGCCTCTGATATTTCTGCATGTGTGTAAGAATCTCTGGCCATGCTAGAAGCTGTTGTTTCAGGGACCCACTCAGCCAAGTCTTTGAGATCTGGCCATCTGGGACAGTGACGGAATGGAGCAGATTCCCCATCCTTCTCACAATCCTTTGCCCTCATCTGTTACTCCTACTTGATATGATTCAGAAGAGGAGATACTTTCTCCTTCCCATTTGTCCCAGCGCTCTTGTTTTCTTCATGTGACACTATAGGACAGCTAACTGTATTTCATGTCCTATTAGAGACCCCTGATTTCATCTCTTCCATGAACTATTTTTAAAAAGACAGGAGAAATTGATAGCCTCAGACAGCCATGCTCTGTCCTGGCAATATCCCTACAAGGGTATATAAAAGTGTTGACTATCTGCTTGGAATGAAAGAGCCATGTAGAACTGGGCCTGGTAGGCTGTGCCTATAATCCCAGTACTCTTGAAGAAGGAGGTAGAAGGATTGCTAGTTTGAGCCCAGCCTAAACAATTTAGTGACTTAATGAGACTGTCTCCGAATAAATAAATAAGATGCTAGGGAAAGACACTCAGTGCAAAAGTCCCAGTTTTTACCAAAAAAAAAAAAAAAAAAAACCTCTTTCAGGAAGTTTTGACCTACTTCTCCTACTTTATCAGTTTACCAGCAAAGAATCTCTTTTTTTTCTCCCCAGATTATGAAACTAGATCAAAGCATAAAGTCAGAGTAACAGTGCATGCATCTCTAACATATTTTTCTCACCAGGTGTCTATACAGTTTTTTGTGTGTGTGAATTAAACTATGATGGTGTTGTTTCATGTTGATGAGAAAAGTTTGGCGATGTTAGAAAAAAGTGACGCTCAGTGAAAGCCACTGTCACTCAGACATTTATTCACATAGGAATACTGTGGAAAATGGCATCTTTGGCCCACCTCACACTACCCCACTTCCTTGTTCCCTTTTTTTCTGTTGCACGTAGGATATACTTCTGTGTGTTCATCCAATTTATTTTGTTACTGGCTCCACCCTATGCCCCTATCTAAGGTACAAAGTCAAGGAGAACACAGAATATTTTATCTTTCCTTTGCAGTAGCTTTGCACAGTTGTTGTTTACTGAATGAATTATTGAGGAAGGAATGACCATACAGTAGTGGGAAATGAATATAGGTGGTGAAAATTCACTAAATATTTATCTTTATGTTAATATTTGCAAAGTTAGGAATTTAAGCCAAGAAATCTGGATATTCAAAAAAGTGTTACAGGTGTGGCCTCCAGGAAAACTAAAAACAGAAATAATAAAGAAGTTTCTTCTGAGGCTTGGACTAGAAAGTTCTGCTGTGCTTTTTTTTATTTTTCATAGTAGTTTATTACAATGTAATGTATTGTTTTCATGGAAAATAAAAGCAATGACAAATCCCCAATCATTGACTCTGCTCTTGTAATTTAGTGTTCCTCTCTCCGAATGTCTAAAGGCCCACACTGTGTATCCTTCCCCTAATTCTTGCAAAGAGTCTTGGACCCTGTTCAGCACTGACCCACTTCAGCGCTTCTCACAGCCTCCATTTGCAGCTAATATTCCTGAATTCCTGAATCTCCAGACTTCAGGGTTTCTTAGATAACTGGGGCACCACTTTTTCATGCTCTTTCCTCTGTGTTACAACTCTTCATGCTGTCCAGCAGCCTCCAAGCAAAGAAACATTTCTCTCATTTTTTTCCTGAGCATTCATTCACTGGATTCAGTCATGCTAGCTGGTTCAGACTCATCAACAGAGCACACGCATTTTCTCCAGTTCTGGGGGGAGCTGGCTTGTGTTGCCAGCCTGCACCACAAGCTGGGGTCTCCAAGTACACCAAGCTCCAGAACCTCATGTTATATTTCCAGATGGTATGAAATAGTTTGGGTTTTTTGTTACATTGTTTTTAAAGTTTTAGCCCTTTTGTTAGATTGAAATGTGTATAGTAAAAATACTTCATAATGTTTTCCACCAAAGACAACCAAGTGTGCCTTAAGACTTGTTTTGTATACACACTGCTTTTTATCTTAAAAAAATGAGAACATACACTGTACATGGTGTTCTCCAACTCAAGTTTTTTACTATTCACAATTTTTGCATCCCACAGCAGCTATGCATAAAGATTAGCTTCATTGCCTTCAGCAGCTGCTTACATGCTCTCCAGCCATGTGTCATGTAAGGATGAGAATACGTCTTGAAAAATGCTTCCATGGGTGATTTAGTCCTTGTGTGAATATCATAGAATGTACTTACACAAACTATGACAACACTAGGTAATATGATCTTACAAGACCATCGTTACGTATGTGGTTTGTCATTCATTAAACTGTCACTCCTGATGTGGCACAGTGCTATATCAGTCAGGATTCTTAGTTTTGGACAATATAATACACACTGGTGAGTTTATGCCAAAACTGTGTTTACAATATAAAGAATATATATAACTCACTTGGAAGAACTGAAAATAAGCCTCCAGAAAAAGATATCCAAGATACTCAAAATAAGCTTCCGGAAAAAAATACCTGCAAAATCTTACCATAGAACTGGACCAGACTGCCACAGCAGAGGACTGCAACAGAGCTGTCAGCCCCATAAAACTCATCTCTGGCAAAGTCAGGAAATGGCCTTACAAATGAGAACACTGCCTGACTGCAAACTCAGTCTCTCTCAATAATCCACACGGACAAGGCATGTGCCCTGCCCCTCATGTAGCTCTGTTGTGAATGGGCATCATACCAGTGCAGAATAGATGTAGTCTGAGTTCCATGTTGCACCTGTCTGGCAGGGGTCTAGGAAATTCAGGTGCAAGGTTTTCCATGTTCCGTAGCGTAACAAAATCCTAACTTACCAAGAATAAAACGTGTTCCTACCACACAAGTGTACACTAAGTTGTTCATTATTTTTATAAACATCATTGTAGAGGGAACAGGTCTGTTTTCTAGTAAAGCAACTAAAAGTTTAGACATTCTCTGATTAAAATGCAGTAGCCTCACAAAATATTTCTTTAGGCAAAATAATCTTTCAGTCTATTTGTTTGCACAGGCGACATCGTTGTCCGCGTGGAACCACAAGGATTTATGAAAATTCTGGAATGTACTGGCCCACAACTGAATATTCAGAAAAATACCCCATGTATGGCAAAGTTCTTCCACCATGGAGTCTTAAACCCAAGCAAGAAATTCGAGCATGTTGTGGTAAAATGGAAGGAATAACTACATTTAAGTAAATATTCAGCAACTATTTGCTTTACTTATTTTTCTCCATACTCATCTGATCTAATAAAATTTTCTAACTATTTCTGTTTAACTATTTGATTTAAGTTGAACCATTTCAAGAAGCAAGAAACTGCTGTAGTTAACTCCCAACTTGAAAAAAGAACGATGAGAATTTAGGCTGAAAAGTGAGAAAATAAAAGGGAAAAAAATCATACTGATGCTTTGATCCCTGAAAATAGCTCTTTTTTTTTTTTTTCTTTTTTTGGTAATCTCACCGTCAGAAGCACTTAGAGGAACGCAGTGGCTTCCATTTTGTCCTTTCTGGTTTTTGCCTCCAGCTTTCACATCTCTGATCTATGTTCAGTAACTTAATCTGCTAAAACAATCTATCAAATGCAAATCTAAATCTAATCCTGTCAAATCCTTATTTATTTATTGAGGTACTAGGAATCAAACTCACAACCTCACGCTTGCCAGGCAAACACTTCACCACTGACTTTCTTGTGTTTAACTGGACATACAACTTTATCCTGACTTGCTAAGAGGTTATTCCCTGTTTGCTTCTCTGGATTGTCTTCCCTGCAGTATCTTCTCCCTCTTTCGTGCTCCCATCTCAGACCATTTTTCATTTCCTAAAGTGCCAGGTTTCCCTAGCTTTACATCCTTCTATTTCCGTGAAAATAAGAACTACCCAGAAAATAAGACCTAGCAAGAAAATAAGCCCTTAGATGATTTTTCAAGATGCCCATAACATAAGCCCTATCCCAAAAGTAAGTCCCAGCTAAGACTGTCAGCCAAGTGGACACATTTAATATGTCTGTTACAACACAGAACAGATGTATTGAATTAAAAAATGATACATAATTATAAATACATTAATATTTAAAATAAATAACATAAATTATAATTCAGCACTTGTAAATACCCAAGCAAGTGCCTTTGGATGAGAGATAAATGCATGTGTAAGCAGATGCATCAAGACCTACTGCCAGGTCAGCAAACAGTGCGGACACAACACGTGAGTAACATGCACAGGGTTGAAGTTGTGTCTAAAATGAATCTTCACAGCCCAGTACTTTGACCTTAGTACATGAGAAAAAGAAGAAAGTCCCTGAAAATAAGTCCTATTTTGTATTTTGGAGCAAAATATTAATATAAGGCCCAGTCTTATTTTCAGGAAACTACTATTTTCCCTTTTTGGATTTTCCTTCCCTCTTCTCCTTGGTTGATATCCATTCTATCTGTAGCTTTAAACCCAGTCGTCCCTTGGAAAAGGCTTTCCTGACTCCTCACCTAGTTTTGTAGCTAGAGAAGATTCCTCTACATGAATACTCAAAGCAGCTTCATGTTATTTGTCGTTGGATTAGTTGCAGCATTCCATAACAGAAGGAACTATGCCCATTGTTTTCCCAGTAGTCTTTTAACAGACATCTAGTACAACACCTACTGGCACTGAGTAGGTACCCTGTATTTGTCAGTGGCTAATGGAAAAAAATCCTCTTAACTTTAAACTTTTCATTTGCACCCAACTTTATTTTTTTCTTTTTAAAATTTTTGTACCTTTGTCAATTTGATGGGTTAGCTCTTTTCATTCATTATTTTATTTTAACTATTAACATGTTCACTGTGCGACCATAAATGTGACTGTCCTGTCCTGGTGTCCTGTCACAATCAATGGGATAGTCATGCATGTACTACCAGTAGTTCAAGCCGATGAGAACATGTTAATGTATGCACTATATTTCAGGTATCATCTTAGAAATTACATATATAAATAAGTTCAATCCTGTGGTTTTTAAGGGATTTATATGTCACATTTAAGTAATTTGTGTATTAAAAATGTTCTATATTCACTTTAATTTCAATGTTAGCCATTTCCATTTCATTTTGAAAAGAGCTTATTCTCCTTATATAGCAAAAGTGGATACTTTGACACTTTAATACTTTGAACATTTCAGGCAACCTTGCAGTAATTGTCCTTTGGTGATTCTAGTTACTTCTGTAGGCATGTGGCTCATTCACAGATTTGAATGGTCTTAACGTGAGTGCATCTCTAAGCACTAACATTGCAGATCCCAGAGATTCCTCTAAAACAATATGTAACAGAGTAAGTGCCAGGAATCTGCATTATTGGTGACTGATATCCAGAGCTCACTGCAGTGGGTCAGGCACTAACCTGCCATGGCTGGTGACATTGAATGTAAAGCCACTGGGTGCTTTCCCCTACTAGTGTTTATAGTCTCATGGAAAAAAAATACCTAGAATCACAAAAAATCATATAAACAAACTGTAGGTTTCAGGAAGTGAGATGATGGCTTTGAACAACTGGTTAAATCAGATCAAGTGGGAATGGTTGCTCTTTTTCATTCACTTTAACATCTTTATTACTAGATGCTCTAATGGTTCATAATGGAGATACGAAATAAAAGTTCACATTAACAGTATCAAAAGCTTTAATCAGCTATAAATGTTAAAAGATTTAACTATCATGTCTTTCTTAGACAATTGTTTTTCTAAGGAAAGAAGAAAGGAGACAGACAAATTTTTTAAAGAAAAACATCAAAATGGCCATAAAAACCAAACATTCAATTTCTTAAATTGTCAACTCTTTGGAAGACACTGAGTCTTTTCTCTGTATATTGATGGGGAAACTAGCAGGATTTTTAAGAACCATAACATAAGAAACTTTTGCTTAACTCCTTCATAGGGATTTCTTTGTAGTTCAAAGGAAGAATAGATGTCCCTCTATACTTTCCTGTAATACCAGAAGAGATTGCTGTATAATTACTGGTATCTAAACATGAATAAGACTTTTGATCATTTAGCACTATAATTGTAGCACAGTTTCATAACCACCAGACAGAGTAGGAATTCTTCACAGGAGGAGGATTCAGGACATATCACTTGTTCTAGAGTATCTTGGATGAGTAAGGCAGCATTCACAAACAGTTGCCATGGGTTTGGAAGTGCACCTTCTAACACTAAGCTAGTCTATCCAACAAGACCGACTTCCAAGCTTTCTATCTGTACTTCTCTCTCTAATTTCCCTGCATTTACCTAATGCATGACTCTGAATTGCATTTTAACCTATTCCTTCATAACTGATGTTTGGGAAGAGCAAAGAGCAACTCACATTTCTTGAGAAAAATAGATATATGGTTTAAGTAAACACAGTAAAAATTTGTGAGGTGTCAGATCTCAGTCTCACAGAGGTGAGTCTAGTGGGAAAGGCATTTGCCTAAAGCGTGACTCAAAATACATGTGAATTACAACTGATCAAATCCATGAAAGATAAGAACAAAGTACAGCTAGAATAAGAGGTTTGACTCCAGGAAATGAGTAGGAAAGTGAGATAAAGCCTGAAAGGCATTAATCAGTTACTTAGATTAAAAGGGAAAGGAAGTGAATTCCAAGCAGAAGTCGTGGCAGTAGTTGGATCAAACATGGATGTAGGAAAGGTTAAAGGCCAGCTTGCCCAGAGGAAGTGCAATGTGAGTTGAGGCCAGGGAGAGGAGGGCAAGAATGACTAGATGAGATTTACACGTGAGTTTCTTTGGGTGGAGACAAGCTTAGGCGTTGAGGAAGCTATTAGAGAATGATTCAAATGAGCCACTATGAAAGCATTGAATATTGTGGTGGTGCTGGAGTTAGAGAAAGGTGATTAGATTTGAGCGCTGTAGAGGGCAAAATTGATAGGATCAGAGGGAGACTAGGGGTGATGTTAGGTTTCCCACTGGATGCTATTCATTACCATAAGGAAGAATAAAAAAGATGGTTCCTCAGGGTGGGGTGAGTTTTCGTGGAGCATGTGGAGTGTTGAAGGGCCACGGAGTGCCCTAGGGGCCTTGTAAGCACTGATGTGAACCTCCGAGTAGAGGTTGAGATATAAATTGGAGTCATTCCTATAGAGGTAGTAATGAAAGCTGTGTGAGTAGAGTCGTCATGATTAAACACTGGTTAAGAGGGGAGTGTGTAAGTTCAGGTCCTAGGGAACTGTTGAATAGAACATGTAACAGTTGCGTAGAAGTGGATGAAGCTGCATAGGAGACCACAAAGTGACAGGGAAAGCAGGAAGGAGATGGAAACAGATCGTGTGGACCTCATATCAGATACTGCTGGAGAGGCCAAGTAAGATGCAGACTGGAGAGATCTGATGTGTTCAGTGACATGGACTCACTGTGACCCCTAGCACTGGACTGGGGGAGCGACAGACCTGGAAACCAGAGTGAAGAGGGTTGAAGAAGGGCTAGAGGGGAGGGAAAATGGTGTCCAGGGTCCTAAGAAGGCAGGCCATACAGACAAGGGATTCGGTGAGGTTTTGGCGCTGCTGCTTGTTTTTTAGCTTATTGATGTGAAAACTTTTTATTAATACAAGATAGTTAAAATGATGACAAGTCCCACAGAATCCAGAAGAAAAGCACTCTGTGAGGACTTGGAATAATACTGATAGCTAACATTGAAGTAATAATAATAGTAGGGAATGAATTGCCCTTACCATGTATAAATCACTCCTGTAGAGTCACTGGTCATTTCGCAATGAGCAAGAAGACAGCATTACTTCAACAAGAAGGAAGTGGTCCAAAGAGTTTACATGAGTCTTTATGTAAGGTTAGTAAGTAAGGATTTTGACAAAGTGGATGCAGGGAGATATTCCTGTACTTTGGAGGTTGATAAAACTTTTCACCTGAAGTTTCCTTTCACATTTCAAAAAACTCAATTACTTGAGGGCTTTATTTATTCACATCATTTTAACTGAGGATCTCTTTTGATATTTTAAAAGCAAGGATTTTAGGCATATTTTAAGGTATGCAGTCACAAGATAGAGCCTTATAAAGGTACTCAATTCTTTCAAAAGCTTCAATTATTGCCATTCTAATATCTTTCTAGATTTTTCAGTTAAGAAAAAACTTTGAAATTTCAATACTGAGATCACTGCAATAAAAGAAAGTGTGAGGCTATGTTTCAAATTTATTTATTTCAGGTCAGATTATCGTCCTTATGAGCTAGTAAGACAACCTCGCCACATACCAGAAGAATATAAACCAAAACAAGGGAAGATTGATTTTGACACTACCTACAAACAAGACTTTAATTCTTACAAAGTGCAGCCTGTGGTGATACTTCGGCCTTTGGAAAGGCAACAAGTTAAAAAAGGAAAGCTTGACACTATCCCAACCTATAAAGGTAACTAAACACTTCAAAACTTACGGAGCTAACACACTGCAACTTCAAACTTAGACATCTAGCATCAAAATAACTTTGGTGTGTTGCCAAACTTATACCCCATAGTTTAGGAAAGGACTTTTTTCTCTTTTGTTAAAGTGGCATTGTATTTCCAAGAAACAGAGACCATTTGCCTGATGGGAAGATAAGGGACTTGGGTTTCCCTCCAAATTCTCAGTTTTCCTTATCTCAATACATATTTGGCTAACTATACCATTGAACAAAGACCGTGTCACATTTGTCACCTTATGTCACAGCATTATTCCCTTCTTACTGTCCTAGAATGAGCTTAACTCTATCAAGAATTCTGGAATTTGAAAAGATTAAGCAAATAGCAAGTCTGTTTTTTATTCAAGTTCAAATCAACCTATAAACTAACAGGGTTAGGAGTTACTTTTATATTGATAAAGAGAGGGTGGAGAAAATCATCTGTAATCAGACAGTTCCTGGTCCTGAACCTCAGAATAAGATAAGCTTGTCGGCCCCTTGATTGACATTGATGGACGACCACACAGGGCACCCACCCTCTGAGACTTCCAGCATGGGAGAGTAATATGCCTGCTCCCTGCTGGCAACTCTCCCATGAGAGTAGGAGCGGGGCAGTGAACAACCAGATGCTCTTTCCAAAAACATCTGATTTTAAAATATTTCCTTACATTTGTAAGATGGGGGTTCTTAACTTTAAAATATATATTATCTCAGTGGTAGATATTTTCTTTGTTAAATAATGAAATTGAATACATACATTAGTTATGTGATATAGCAGAATGAGTAAACCTAATATGAAGCCTTTTGGTAAGAGTGATGCCAGTGTAATGATTCATACTTTAAATAGCTGATAGCTAAATGCATATTTTTTCTTAAAATTTTACATTTACTATTTAACAGGTAAGTAAAGTATGTGATTAGTATATTGTGATCTATGAGCTTATCTGTTAGAGAAATCATAAACATGTTCCCTCTCAATTTTATAATTGTGAAAACATAAAATGTTATACAGGTAATAAACTGTGAAGACTGGATAGGTGAACAAGAATAGTATAATCAAATACAGCAACTGCTGATAATAGGTTTATTTATATACATAGGATAATGATGTAGTGGACACAATTTGATGTAAATGATAATTGATTAAAATGATTTTACTTCATGTTTTACACAATTACAATGAGGCTTTTTTTCCACAAGATCTATAAAAATACATTAGTAATACTGAAGTCTCCTGATGCTGTTAATATACACACAGTGTGCACACACACACTCACAGACCAACCTCATTGGCCTGAGTTCCCTGTGGACGTCCATATTTCCACTATGATACTCCATAATTCTTTCTAACTTTCTAGCTTTCTAGCTTCTAAACTTTCTGATGAGGAAAGGCTCTATTTTGTATTTGCAGGTTTTCAGACATGAGACAACAGAAATATGAAGGGACAAGGCTATACTTCACCATTCTGTGCGATTGTACTGAAGGTTTGGTAGATATCCACGTAAGGGCAAGTATCTATAAAATCTAAGAGTTAGAAAACAAAGGAAGGACAGAAATAGGATATGATAAAGAAAAAACTCCTTCCAAATTGGTAAGGAGGCAACATGTACAATCTGGACATTCTTTTCTTTTGTTCTTTGGTGGTATACACACAGGGAGGCGTGCATGCTAGATAGGCACTCTAGTACTGAACTGCATCTTTATCCCTTTTTTATTTTTGAGGCGGGGTCTTGGTAAGTTACCCAAGCTGGCTTTGAACTTGTAATATTCGTGCCTCAGTCTGCAGCAGAGTAGCTGGGATTACTGGCATGTTCCACTATATCTGTGTTGGACACAGGATTTATGAAATATAAATGTATCTGTCCCTAGCATCTTCAGCAAAGTAACTTGCATTAAAATATAGATGATGAAAGCAAGACATTTTTATTTGATAAATATGTTTTAGTGATTACCTAGTTCTGTGCTAACCATTGTAGGAAATACAGAGATTTAGATTGCAGAATGGTTGTTGACATTAGAAATTTTCTAATTGATAAACCAAAGATACAAAGATCTATGCAGTTGAAAACTGTAAAACATTGATGAAAGAAATTGGACACAAATATCCTGTATTCTTGAATTGGAAGAATTAATATTGTTAGTGTCAGTACTACCCAAAGCAATCTATAGATTCAACACAATATCCATCACTATTCTATTGGCATTTTCCAAAGAAATAGAAAAAAGCATTTGTACAATTCACATTGAACAATAAAAGTAGTCAAAGCAATCCTTTTTTTTTTTTTTTTTGTACTGGAGATCAAACTCACAACCCCACAGTTGCCAGGCAGGCATTTAAGCCACTGAGCTAAATCCCCAGTCAAAGCAATCTTGAGAAACAAGGAAACAGTTAGAAGCATCACACTTCCCGATTTCAAATTTTGTTACAAGCCTACAGTAATCAAAATAGTATTGAACCGACATTAAGACGTTAAGGATGTACACCATTGGAACAAATCAAGAGTGGAGAAATATATTCAAGCCAATGAATCTTCAACAAGGGTAAAATAAATACAGAGAAGAGAACGAATAATCTCTTCTATAAGATGATGTTGGAAAAATTGAATCCTCATATAAGAGAATGAAATCAAATCCTAATATTATACACGGAAGTCAACCACAAGTGGATTAAAAGCCTATACGTAAGATACAAAACTGTAAATATCCAAGAAGAAAATATGAAGTTCCTTGACCCTGATCTTAGGAGTGATTTTTTAGATATGACACCAAGAGCACAGGCAACAAAAGTGAAAACACACAAATGGAATCACCAAAAAGCAACTTATAAATTAAAAGAAAATATTTGCAAACCATATATTAAATAAGAGACTAATAATCAAAGTATATAAGGAACTACAAATTTAATAACAAAAATAATTGATTTTTATAATGGCCATAGTATCTCAAAAGACATTTTTCCAAGGAAAACATACAAATGGCTAACAGGTATATGAAAAGCTACATGCCATCACTAATATCAGGGAAATACATATGAAAAAAAATTGAGCTACCACCTTACACCTTCAGAAATACATTATAAAGAAAGATAAAAACTGTTGACAAAAATATAGAAGGAAAGCTGGGGATATAGCTCAGTGCCATAAGCAACTGTCTGGCAAGCATGAGGTCGTGAGCTCAATCCCTCGTACCAGAAAAAAAAAAAAAAAAACTTACAAAATATAGAAGGAAAAAAACCATGGTAATCTTGTAGGTAGTAATGTAAATTGGCATACCCTTATAGTAAACAACTTGATAGTTTCTCAAAAAAATACAACTACTATGTCATCTAGCAAAATCCTGTCTCTGGAGATACAGATAAAGGAGATGAAATTAATACCTCAAAAAGATATCTGCACTTCCATATTTGGAGCATTACAACAAGCAATACATGGAAATAACAGGCATCCTCTGGTAGATGAATAGGTAAAAAAATTGTTGGGGGGCAGAAGGAAGGGGTGAGGGAAAGAGGAAGAGACAGAGAAAGAGCCTTATCTCTTATAATGTTTGGGATTAGAGTTCCTCATATATTTTGGATAATATATCTTGGGATGGAACTCAAGTCTAAACACAAAATTCATTCACATTCTATATATGCTTAGTGTATCCCAAAGATGATTTTATACAATATTTAGAGTGTGCCTTTGTTTCAGCTGTAACTGTTATATGAGGTCAAACATGGAATTTTCCACTTATAGCTTCATGTTAACATTCAAAAAAGTTTTACTTTCTGAGGATGGTCACCGTGTGTGTGTTTGTGTGTGTGTGTGTGTGTGTGTGTGTGTGTTTTGTGTGTGTGTGTGTGTGTGTGTGTGTGTGTAAAATAGAATATCAAACAGGTATACTTTAAATATATACAGTTTTAACATAAAATCATATGACCTATATTTCAAAAGAATTTTAGAATTAAGGAAAAATAAGTTATATCCTGAAAAACTAACCCTACTAGAAATAAATTATATATCATGAAGGGAGGACATTATTCACTAAAAAAAGTAGAAGAATAATCAGTGCTTCAGAAAGCTATACTTGGTAAAATATCACTCTAGGCTAGGATAGGACTGCATAAGAGAATAGTGACTGCTGATACATAGGAAGGGCGAGAGTACCCTAAAACCTGATATGAAATGAATGAGAGAAAAAAAAACCCCACAGAACCAGAAAGTAAGAGGATTCTTAGTAGACACGAGAAGGGTCAGAGAGATTCAGGGCCAAGAAATTAGAATATAATTCTATATATGTGGGTGGAGATCATATTGGAATGAGCCTTAATTGCCAGGGTGAGGGAGCCATTACAAATGTTTGTAGAGTTCTGCCAGGTAGGATATAGCAGATGGCAGAAAGCCACGGTTTTGATCCAACAATGTTTTAAGAAGGTATAAAATTTAAAAATCATTTTAATGCCATCAGCTGTGGAGGCAAAGAACTGAAATTCCAGAAAAGGAGGATCTTTTCCTAGCTGAGCTTAAATAGCCAATACTTTGCTTCATTTGTCAACTGTAGGCCTAGGCTCCTGATCTAACAGGTTTTATCCATGGCATAGCCAGAGCCAGTCTTCTAGGAGGAAAAGAACCCAGTGGAAAGCTAGTCTGATGAACTGGAATTTAGGAGGACCTCAGATACATGGATGATTTTCTTTATAGGAAATGCATCTAGTGTTTAGGGAACATGATGGACTAAGAGGCAGTAGAAGAGAAAAATTCCACAGAAATATCCCGTAGTCTGATATGAATATAGATGTTTAGGAAATAAAATGCCACAAGAACAAAGGCCCTACCTCAAACATACCTCAAGCCTTGTCCTCAAAACATTTGAAACTAGAATACTATACCTACTAAAGATAGGCTGTGACTGCTGGTGTGATTCAATTTGTAATTGGATTGAGGTGATCTCCAATTCCTATCTGCTAATATAAGAAAGAACAAGCTCCTGTTGA